AAATTATTTTAACTTTTACTCAATAGAGAGAGGAAAATGGATTTGGGAATTTCTGTTATCAGTGGAAAACAACCAGGTTATGATGCTGATGTGACTAGTTACAGGTATTGGTGTGATCAATTCACTGCTGATCTTAGGAAAGGACCTCTCACTCATCCAATTTAGCACAGCTGGGCACAAATTTACATACATAGTCTCAAAATTTCTACGTGGCTTCATGAGGAGGATTAACAGAGCACTGGCTATAGACTGTTTTTGTATCAGTATAGCCAGCTTTATTTCCCAGATGAAAACTTTAAATTCAGAGGAGGTTAGGCCATGGATGTGAGCAAGGCAATAGATTGCACTGAGATAATCAAAAGTGGATGTGAAGAAAAAAAAAAAGTAGAAGAAAAAGGTTTTGAATCAGAGTCACAGAATCATTCTTCTTGGAAGGGAGCCCCTGAGATCATCTGAATGGTCTGGTACAGCTCAAATGGAAGTTCAGCTTCAAGCAGAAATTTGTGGTTAAACCTCTGCTGTTTGCAACACAAGTATATTATTTTTAAGTCTCTTAGATATTACAACTTGCTTATCTATGCATTTTCTCCTAAAACAATAAGTTACAGGATTTAGCCTTGGTGGGACCAACTTCATTGACTTTTGCCCTCAATACTCTCACTGCTAGTTCTAGCTCCAAAACCTGCCTCATGGGAAATTTGAACAAACACTCTAATTAGAGACAATTCTGTTCAGATATTTTATTTGCTATTCCTCTATTGTTTCATTTCTTTTCATAACTTAGAAAGAAAATGAATATCTGAGAAATTAATCTGTCGTTAAGAGTTTATCCCCTAAACTCATCAGATTCGAGATCTGCTATTAAACTTGCATGCTGTCAAAGTTTTCTATGTGGTTTTAAAGATCAGTTTGATATTACAGTAGATTTTATATTTAGTAGAGCAATAAACAAATAGTGCTTTAGGTAAAATTTAATGTTTCCACACAATTTCACTAACAAAATACTACTCTTGTCAGTAAGATTGCCTGAAAAGACAAGTTGTGACAAAGATTATATGAAATATCAGTGAAATTCCCTAACCCAAGATGTGCCTGGACTTACCGCATGGAAATTCCAAGTCCCTTTCAGGTTCAGCGCAGAGTGAATTATTTCATGTGCCCGTGCCGCCATCTCGTGGGGGTCGAGCCTCCTGCACCAGTCCTGTGTGAGCACCGTGTCACCTGCTGCCAGCACCATGTCACCTGCTGTCTGAGCAGCCAGGGTGTGACACCCCTGGGTGTGACATCAGCTCAGAAAGGCCATAACAGCTCCACTCATACTGATGTCTCCTACAAGCCATAACACCATTCTGATCTCGTCCTGGTAAGAGCCTCTCATCATGAAGAGCACATTATTTAATGTGCTTTACATAAGATCCTTCAGTTAAATGTGGACAGACAGACCAAGGCCAAGTTATTTTTTTTCCCTCTATGTTTGCATAATACAAAGAAGAAATTCCTGGTTTATAGACACATTGATTCCAAAGACATCAGATTATAAAAATGTGATGATAGGCTCTGTGATCCACTGAGACGACAGGTCTCAATGCAGCAAGTCCTGCCGTAGCTTTCTCTATGCATGATTGAAATTGGACTGAGACACTGAAAATCTAGTGTAGATTGTCTTGAAAACTCTTTTATAATTGCATCACAATTATAAGGTCCATAACATATCAATCTTAACCTCCTCATTGTATCTCTACCTAGCCAACTGAAATATTCTCTATTAAATTTCTGCTTCCTCTAATAATATTTCACTTTGGTCAAGACATCCCTTAAGCCTGAATTTGAAAAACAAAGGTTGCTTTCTCAGCTACATGTTCATTGCTATTCACCTTTTCTTTTCTGATGGCTCTATGTAGATTGAAGGATAGGTGAATAGACAAAAATCTGTTAATTTGCTTTCTGTTAGCCAAGTTGTAGATTTATTCCCTAATTCTACACTTACAGGGATTTGGAGAACTACCAAAATAGTGTCAAACAATAATCACTGTTATTCTTGGCCTTCTTGTCTTATAAGAAGCTCCTTATTTTGTGAAATGCTCCCTTGTTAAGTCCACACAACTTTTTGGTCGTAATCTGCTGAGAAGAAAGTTTAATATTACTTTGTGCTGGTGCTCAATCATGCTTAAGTTAGTATTTAATTACATTGCTAGAACTTGTTAGTAGTGGTAGTAAGAGACTTTCAGACTTACACTGAATGTGAACTAGCCTTGGTTTTCTTAGGTAGGCACTGGAAAAGACCCATTTTCTGATGAAACTGGATTGATTGATTGATTGATTGATAAGTGCCTTCTCTCACTCTTCTGCCTTTATTAGCTTCATTTTCTTTGCTTTCTCTCCTTCCTGCAACAAAAGAGCATTGTTTTATTTCATCTGAGAATTGTTCCCTCAAAGATCTCTGCTCCTCAAAAGCTTGTGTTCTCTGTATATTTATTTCCTCATCATTATTAAGCACGTCAGTCTTGTACATAGTTTTCTGTAAGACCCTGGTGTTTCAACTCAATCTGTAAATAATTTAGGGTAAGAACAAGCTTTTTGTTATTTTCAGTGATGCTTCATGCAATATGGACAGCACCTCAAGCATTAAGATTGCAAATACAACCACATGTATGTTTTAATTATTCATCATTCAGGCAGCTCTTCCTTGGCTAATGATATGAGTCTTTTTTTCCACATATACTATGCTTTTTATTTATCTCACATTTCCCAGTTTTTTTCTTCTTTTCTGATTGACATTAGAATTATTTCTACACCAAATAGGGGTGAAACCTGGAAGATTGTCAGTTTTCTTTCACAAAGGCCTTGGACATATCCAAAATCATGTCCTGGAACTGTCTGAGGAATGTTAGTTATCTGTCAGACAGGAGGAAAAGATAAAAATGGTTTCACTAAATGGAATTAAATTTTTTCTCTGAAAGATGTCTTTATGATAAATATGAGTAACAATATCATATGTATGAATGCAGCTCATGACTTTGAAGCATTTCGTATGTAAGTCAAAGAAGAATTTTATTTTTTTAATCACTGTTTTACCATAACAACCAGACAGGTCCAGAGATATTCAGTGATATTTTTCAATAAAGAAAGCAAGTGTGAGTCAGAAAAGGTATCCATTTTCTGATGGTTGACTGTCTGCTCAGCATACACTGCTGAAAACCCTTCCAGTTATACCATGAGTCTCATAACAGCTTGTTCTTTTCTTTAAAGAGTGACTGCTTGGAGCTCTGTGACCATGAGAATTTTAATTACTTATGCATTTTTTAATCCTTGTGGTTGAAGTTTAAAAAATTATTTATAAGACGATCTTACTGCTTCATCTGTAGTTTCAAAATGGTTCGGTTGGCAAGAATGGGACCTGATAGCTTTCTGTATTTATTTTCCTTCGCATGAATAAAAATGAAGTGCTGGCTGATTTGTGTGTCTTCAAGCCAAAGGATGGGATGAGGGGGGGATTGGGGTTTTTACGTCACCTGTTACTAAACACCTTGGAATATTTCTCTTTATTTAAATATTGCACCCACATCTATCAGTTCAATGAGAACTAATCCATAAACTTCCAGAAACTACTTTAAGAGGAAAGGATACCAATGGTTCTGGCTCTAATTTGGTGGTTGCCACATATCTTTTTCAGCTTTTTTATCTTTTTTTTTTATCTTTCTAGTTTATATTCCTTCCCTCAGCTGTTATATTGCCGTGTTCTTATAATTTTTAATTTTCCAAAGAGAAGAACGGAAGTAGTCCCCAAATTCCTGCCAGAAAACCCTTCTCAGTTACTGTTTTCTTTGGGGTTTTTCTTGACAAGATGATAAATATCTTCCCAATGTATTTTTAATTCAAGTTTGTCATAGTTTCAGCGTGAATGTGAACATGGTAATAACAACACAATTTACACATTGGAGGAGCAGAGATGTTGAATATTTATATACACTTCTGCTACAGTAGTTTTTATAGCACAGTAACGCAACCACATTTTCAGCCTGAGTTAATGTAATTGCTTCCAATTCTGTGTGTTCAAGAGGTCTATTTATTCAGCTAATAAAAGCGAGGAAATGCAGAATACTGATATGCCAGTGATAACCATTGTGTGGCTCTGAGTGTGGAGCCTGAGGCACAACCCTCGATGATCCGCGCACACGGGTGTTCTCTGGGAACGCACCAGAAGGTTTTAACAAGCTGGGAGCCAGCGTGCAGAACCAAGAACCGATGGATTCAGCGTGCACACCGCGATCCAGCACCTCCTTTCCCATGTCAGGCTGCTTTACCCCGGTGTCGCTGCGGCTGCACAGGCAGGCCCAGAAGGGTCAGGCAGGACCAGAGGACAGAGACTCGAGCTGCGCCAGGGGAGATTCAGGCTGGACACGAGGAGCATTTCTTCGCTGGAAGGGTGATTAGACATTGGAATGGGCTGCCCAGAGATGTGGTAAAGTAGCGAACTCTGGGAAGTGTTTAAGAAAAACTGGGAGTGGCACTTAGTGCCAAGGTCTGGCAGATATGGTGGAGTTCGGTCACAGGCTGGATTCGAGGAGCAGGGAGGTTTCTCCCAGCCCGAATGATTCTGTGATTCTGTGACCAGCAAGTTTTCCACTTATTTTACGGGTGTACGGAGCCCGTGTTCCCGGTGAACAGCAGCCAGCCGAGCACTCCCGGATCCGGAGGGGCCGTTCCCTCATGGAGCGGCGGGGCGAGGCCGGGCACGCACCTCCCCTCACGGCCCGCCCTAGCCCCGCCCTTTCCCCATCTCGTCTCCCATTGGCTATCCCGCTCCCGCTCTCCGCCAATCCCCGGCCCCGGTGCTTCCCTCCCCTCCTTCCCCTTCCCGCGCCCGCAGCCGCCGGCGCGCCGCGAGGCGGGGTCGTTAGCCCCTCCCCCTGCATCAGCACCGCCCCTCACGGTCGGACCGGGTGGTGATTGGCTGGGGCTGGCGGGGGCGGTGCGGACGTGGGCGGGGCCGGGCCGGGGCCATGGCTGCGCCGGGGGCTGCGCGGCCCCGCAAGGTGCGTGCGGGCCGGGGGGTACGGGTAGGGCCGGTTCTTGTTCGGGGCCTCCTCGCCAGGGCCCGGGTGTGCTCGGAGGGGGTGAGGGGGCGTCGGGGAATCCTCCCTGCCATCCGTGTAACGACTCCTGCGCGAGGTCAGGCCTTCCGAGGCCGAGGCCGGCTGGCACCGCAGCCACCTGACGGTGGTCCTGAGGCGCTGTGTGCGGGTCTGGGCTTGTCTCTGCCTGAGAGACGTGGAGCTCCTAGAGAGGCTCCAGGGGCTGTGGGTGTTGAGCCTCGGGAGGAGATGGCTGAGAGCGGACCTTCCCGATGTGTATGAATAAAGGGGGGTGTCGGAGGATGGAGCCAGACTCTGCTCGGTGAGGCCGAGCAATAGCACAACAATAGGCGGTGGGCAGAAACCTATGCACAGGGAGTTCCACCTGAACACGAGAAAGAACAGATTGTCCAGAGAGGGTGTGGAGTTTCCCTCACTGGAGATATTCAGGAACAGGTCAGGATGCAGACCTCTGCCTTGTGCTCTGGGATGGCCCTGCTTGAGCCACTGTGGTCCCTTCCAGCCTCGTGCTGTGTGCTCTGGCCATAGATGATTCTTAAAATCCTCACAGTTCAGGTCTGTATTTATCAAGCATGGTTTCTATTTGAAACACATTTGTACATCAGCTCTTGGAGAGCCCTTAAGTGTCCGTGTCTGTAGAATGCTGTGGAAATTAACAAAGCATCCTGCTGTCAAGGTATGTTTTGTGAAATGAAACCCACAAGTCTCGGGCTCTACTAGCAGCAGTTGCTCCCTTGACTAGCGAGCTGTAACTTCCCTTGAACTGATGTCCCTTGAACCTTGGCAAAAGTTCTTGGAAGTGGTGGGCAATAGTAGTCTTCAAGTGCTGTGAAAATACTTTGTGAAAACCAAAGTGTATTTCTGTAATCAACAGGCTCTGTCTTCTGGAAGGCTGTCAGGAGCAGTTAAACTAACAAATGGAAGAAATCAGTAAGACCTTTTTTACTAATACTGTTTAAAATTGAGTGTATGTGTGAGCATTTGGGAGCCTTATACTTGTCATGCCTGACAATTGAACTAAAAATCCTTGTATGTATATATAAAACATTTTAAGCTGAAAGGTTCTAAGTACCCCATGATCAGAGAGGCACAAACTGAATAGAAATTTTACATATAAAAATACAGATTTCATTCTGCATGTTTTATTTATAAAAGACTGAATTTATGTAATTACTAGGTATATGTAAGACTGTTGAGTGGAGACTGAATTCTTCTTTGACGTAAGCTGTTATTATCTGCTTAACATGTTTGTTGCAGCCATGCAAAGTTTTCAGAAAGAGAAGGTTATTTTGTTTCATGATAAAATTAATACTCTTTTGCTTGCTATTACTGAATGAAAGTAAGGGTGTTTTTTTTTACTTTGTTTCCCATTAAGGAGATGGTATAAACAGTAAATTTCAATTTTTTAGGTTTGGCTTAAGGAAAGAATGCCATTCTGATGCAGAATTCTATTCCACTGAATCTGACAATCAGGTAATTAAGTGGCTCTTTAACACAGTCATCCCTGTTATCTAAAGAGAAGGGAACTTGAAATACCTTCAGTAGCAGAAGAAAGCCAGATTAATTTAGCTCCTGATTAATTTGCATTAATAACCTGAAATTGCTCCTGCAAGGCAAGCAAGAGTGTCTGTACTACATCTTGTAGATGGGAGCAAATGGGCTTTGTGTGTAGTGTTTGGCTCTGACAGATCTCCTCAAGGCACAGGATACATTTTGCAAACACAGATCAGCTGCTTATGGACAAGGGCTGGCCCTTACAGAAGAGCAGCTGCCCTTGTTAGGTTTTTGTGCTGAAAAGAAGTATCACTGAGTCAGTGCTGCAGTACTGGTTTTGTGTAGTCCTGAGCCAGTTGTCTGCAAAATACAATTAGGCTGTAGATAATGGTTTAACTATACGTGGGACTAAGGATAAAAAACATACATGTAATTAATGTAAAATCCAGCAAATGGACATGGATGCAACAGTGCAATTTAGTTATTTTGCAGAATCTGTGTGTTTGCAAACTTCCATGTAATTACAAAGTAGTACATGGGCAATGATACATTTTTTTGGTTATGAGTTGTTCTTTGTCAGGTGGCAGATTGGGGTACACAGCTCTAAAACAGCATCTTGGTTTACTGAAAGAAAACAGTGGTACTCGTTTACTGACTGCAGTGCTCTTTGTGCAGGTTGATACTATTCAGAATGGACTTGACCATTGTGCAGCTTTACTGAAGAATATCTTACAAAAGGAAGCTACAGGTTGTACCTATTGAAAACACAAGTTATGTTTTTAGGTTTTGTAATACTCTCTTGATTTGTTTTGTTGAGCCCTTTTTCTTTCAATTAATACTAGGAAGGGAGACTGTCAATAAACAACCTGGGAAAACAGCTACCTGTAAATTTACTTCCAAGCCTTTTCTAACCAAAGGAAACACCTCCAAGAAGAAAGGGTTGAAAAGAATCATTACTCCTGCCCCTGTCCAAAAAGAAATTGGTAAGTGGGCTTTCTTAGGCTTGATTTAATTTTTTTTATTCAAGCAACATTGAAAGATTTCTCAGCTTAGTGAGATTCAGTGAGGCTTCAAATAATTATTGCCATTTGTCACAGGTTCATCCAGAGTGGGATCCACAAAATAATGTATTATTTCCTTTCAGAAACCTTAAATGTTTACTAAACAATTACTGAAGTTCACAAGTGTTTGAACTTCAAGTACAAGGAAGAAAGTTGAGTGTTTTTACAAGTACCAACATCATCAGGTTTATCTGGTAGGAAGTATGGAGGAGACTGATAATACCCTTTCCCTATTTCTCTTGGATAGGAAGCATTGCAGTGCTTGATCTCAATTTAGGATACACAGCTAGAAACTGGTCTGAAGTTCAGTGTCCAGCCTGGCTTTTCTGAAAGAAGGATTTGTGGAAATAGGGAAGTGGGGCTAGAAACAAGACCTCAAATGGTTTAGTGGCCAAATTACTTGAATGGAAAGATAGATGGAGTGCTGTCAGCTGAGTTGCTCCCAGGGGAAACATTTCATTTATTATAATTTCTGCCTCTCTGCACCCTGTTGCTTCTGTGCAATTTCTAATCCTGTAGGTGAGTGGGGCCTGTAGTCAGCTGTGTAGCAGAATGCCCTTTGGGAATTGTAGGAAGTGAACATGTAGCTGATAATCTTCCCAGCACTGTAAAATTACAGAGTTTTAATTATACCTAAGCAGAGATTTTAAGAATTGCATTTTAGAACTGACCTTCTGTAGGATTAAGTCCCTGTACTCCCTTCAAGGACAGCTGCCTGTCCAACCGGTTAAGGTTGCTCTACCTGTAAGAAAAAAATGATGGATTCATTTGCTGGAGAATCAAAATCTGACTGGAATCCTGGGCCACAGGATCTTTGTTTCTGTTTTTAAGAGACCCTTCCAGAATCTGCCAGACAATACAATGGGTTTGTGTAGATCAAGAAGACAGGCAACTTCAGCTGGAGTTCTTTGTTCTTTCTTTCTCTACAGTGCCAATATTAAATAGAAAAATTGCCTCATCTACCACACTTCCTACTGAGAAGGAACTTTCCAGTGCAGCAGAGAATCAGATGGTTCAATCAATTCATGTGCCTTGCAATGAACACTCTCCTGGGGTGTATCAGAAACTGTATGAGCATGTGCAAACCCAGATGTCTCTGATAACTGGCCAGCCCACACAGAAGAGTAATGAAATTCCTGCTGTAACTCCTTATCCTACCTCGAACCAGGGTTAGTGGATGTATTAATGTAGAGTTGACTATTTAACTGCATGAGTTTTTCCCACATTGCCCTGATCTATGAGTGTTGTTTTCTTTTAGGATGTCAAAATGTTACAGCTTTGAATTACCAGTTACCTACCTCCACATCAGCACTGTCCCTGCAGCATTCAGCTAATCCTTTATCCACTCATTCTGTAAGTAAAAGTTTGATTCCCACTATCAATAAAGACTGAATTAGCACTGCCTATTTATTTATACATTTCCTTGTGTCAGTTTTCATAATAATTTTCCTTTAAAAAAATTGTGTATTTCAAACTGTAGTGATGCATAGAGAAAACACTGCTATTCAAAACACATTTTATGTAGACACCAAAAAATGAAATTAGGGGCATTTCAGCTGGCTGCTTGCTTCTACCTGGGGAATTCTGTAATGGACAGCAAACACGGAAAGTGCAGGAAATTATTGATTACTGTTAATTGCATTCTCAGTAATGCACACTAGGGTCATTAACCAACTCCTGAGAAAAGAACTCATGTATCATATGGAGGTCTCCCTGCCAATGGTCAAGACAATTATTACTTCAGACATTATCTGAGAGGCACATGTTAAAAAGCCTGTGTATTTCAGGGTATAGAATAGAGGTGATGGAGAATACCAGCTGCCACCTCAGGAAATGTGGCAAAGGGCTTGAATCCACCTTGAATGTGTAAGACTGTAGACTTACCTTCCATCTGCAGGCAGATGAGCAAGGTGAGGACCTTGACTTTAAAGTTCATCTACTTAAAATACTGAAAGGTAACAGTGTTGTGCATTATATTTCTTTTCTTCCCTGTTCTGCTTGGATTCAAGAAACTACTGAATTTTTTTTCATTACAGAACAGTTGTAAAAGAACTGTTTTAATGTCGCCAATAACATTTAGATAAAGGTAATCTAAATCAGACTTGCATTTTAAGTGTTCCTTATTATACAGGAAAATGATTCCATTATTAATTTGTAGTTGTTCTTATAATTAGCAAAGAATGAACAAGTCTTCATTGAGTCAGATAAGGGTGGTGCTGTTTGTTGTTTTTTTTTCCTAAAGATTAAAAATCATGTTAATTTTTTGTTTAATTAGAATATTTTTATGCAGGGTGGTCCTGTAGAGAGTGCCAATGAATGTGTTCCGGAGATGGGAGGACCTGTGGTTTGCCCAGTGGTCGCTGCTGCTGCTGCACAAATACAGTCTGGAACTGCTCCACCTGGTGTGATCCCTTGTACAGCACCTGGAGCATCAACCCCTTCAGTGCCTGCTTTGATCCCAGCATCCTCTGCCAGAGAGATGGCCCCAAGCCAAGAGCAGCAGATGAAAGAAGCAGATGTGATGTGGTGCATACAAGCCCTGTTACAATCCAATGAAATCCTGAATGGCAGGACTGAACAGAGGAGCCATCACCACTGTCCAGCAAAACATGATGGCTCATGTGACACAGAGGAGGATACTTCTGAAGAGCAGAGTGAGGACATGGTCAGTGAAGAAGATGAATTGACTGTACTTGACGTGTCTCCAGTGAAAGATACAAGCTGTAAGACAAGTTATGTGAGGAAAGTTCTAAAATCTAGAAAGGAAAGTCCAGAAGAAACAGCCCATAAAGTTAGGACTATAAAGCATCTTATGGGTGAGCTCAGAGCGCTGGTAATAGATCAAGGTGAGGACATTTTCATTGTGCAGTAGAGTCATTACATACAAATAACACAAGAGCTCGATGAAAGGAGTGAGCACTTCAGTTTCTGGAAGTTGTATGTGTCAGATAATGTTTGACATCTTACTGTGGTTTTTCACAAGTGTAAATCCTTCAGGATTCACTCTGGATAAATATTAATTTATTTTTGTAATATTTTAATATTATCATGTCAGCACGATAAAGGTTGTTGCTGTTTCGTATAGAGAGCTTTCCCCAAGAAGTTTCCTGGTGTGGACAGATTGCAATAGCAGTCCCACCAAGGCTGGTTGGAGAGATGGTGAGTTGTGTTTTACTGAGTATGTGAAGCATAGTTTTCATACTCAAGTTTAACAACTTTAAATAAATAGAGTTAAAGATTAAGTTTTCTTGGAGGGAAAAAAACCCTGATACTATTAAATGACTATTAAATAACTTTGCAGATTGCTTAATCACATGTAAAACGCTAGTTATATTACAGATTTATAGGTTTAAGGAGTCTCTTTTTTTCCCTCACTTCTTGCAGGTGACTCAGAAATGCTGAGGTTGATGAGTGAAATAGAAGACTCTGTATCATTGCTGCCAGCTGTAGTGGGAAGTACAAATATTCAAGCTGAAATAGCTCTGGCTTTGCAGCCTCTGCGGAGTGAGAATGCCCAGCTGCGCAGGTGGGGAGCTTTGTGAGCCTGTGCTTACCGCAGCTGCATCTAAAGCATCTTTAACTGGTCTGGCTAAAATTGCCTTTGTTAAGGCTCTTCCCTTCTTGTCTGCAATATTTATGAATTAGAAAGCATGCTGGTAAGGCCATATACTCTAAAAAGCAATAATTAACACAGCATGATTTTGGTATATTAGTAGCATGAGTTACCTCAATGCATCACTCTAAAAACTGCACTATCAAGATAGTTAGCCTGCTCATATCCTTTTTGTAGTTTATTCTCAAATGCAAAAGTGTCTCTCATGTCAGGGGGTTTTCACATAACTGGATAGAATTTACATCAGATTTACTTCAGATATTTACCAGATACTTGGAAAGGATATTTTGTGTTGAAGAAGTACCAGAATGTAAGAAGGTGTTATTAAGACTTCTTTATATTTCTGAAATATTCCCTGGCATTTAATTCTCAAAAGCAACTTCTCACCAAACTAATTTACAGTGCAGTCCTTCTGAGTGTATTCTAATATTACTGAATTTGTGCTTTTTCACAATTCGCATTTAGGAGACTAAGAATATTAAACCAGCAACTTAGGGGACAAGAAAGCAGTGAGAAGACATCTGGACAGAGCTGCAGCTATGAATGTAAAGTACCAATAATGTTGCTTGATAGGGGCATATTTTTTAAATCTTTATTACAAAAGATACTTCTACTTATATATATGTAGTTTTATACATATGTATGTATTTTGGCCTTTAGTAATAGCTGAACTAAGTGGGTCTAATGCTGCAACTGCATTTGCATGGACTGTTTGGCTTCTTTGGACTCCACATAGTAGGATTTGGCTCTTTAGCTGCCAAGCAGGTTATTTTTCCTTATGTACCTCTTAAAATGAAGATGGTTGATTAAATAATTAAGAAGAAAGCTTGAGCTTTATCTTGCTGCAAAAAAAAAAAAAAAAACAAAAAAAAACCCAAAACCCTTCGATCTGTAACCAAAATTCATCTATTCATATTACCAAGTTTATTTAAAAACTTAGTTTGGTTTAGAAATTCAAGCTACCACACAAAACACATAAACATTTTATGTTTTACTTTGGTAGTGGTTTCTTTGCAGTCCTTGAATATGATGCTCCAGAGTCAATTAAAAGAATCGCAGAAAGGCCTTGATTCACTGCAGGCTAAAAATGAGGAACTACTGAAAATAATAGAAAGTCAGAAAGAAGAAAATAAACATCTTGGAAAAGGTATTCAAGATAAAGAAGAAGAATTGCTAGAAAACAAACAGCATTATGACATTCATTCCACCAAGCTAAAGATTGGTGCGTGTTTTCAATTTGGTTATTCTTTGTTTAGCATTTTAAAAGTTAAATGAAATAATTATGTAAGTTCTTGTTGGCATTTCAGAAGTGGAAGAGGCATTAGGAACTGTGAAGAGCCTTCAGTTTAAGCTGGAAGCTTCAGAGAAAGAAAATAAGATTTTGGGCATAACGTTACGTCAGCGTGATGCAGAAGTTAAGAGATTGAGGGAATTAACCAGGTACTATTGGCTAAGCTTTTTTTTTTTGACCTCCTGGCATTGTTTTTATTTTTTAAAAATCTTTCTTATTCCTTGAGGTTTTGGGGGGTTTTTTTCTATCCTGTGGATTATTGTACTCTTAGTATCTTGGTGGTAGGAGGTCTCATAAACTAAAACTTCTCCTTGCAGTTCTATTGGTTACAATGCTGCTATAATTTTGTTTTAAAACAGAGTTGTCATATTCCATGACTTGAGTTCTGTGGTAAAGTAAAATACTATCTGCCATAACTTACGTGAAGTCTTAACTCCTAATAGCAGATCTGCCAGTAAGAACTATTGCTGTGAATTTACTTCATCTTGCTCTTTTATGCTGAAAATAGTGGCAGGCTGGGAGAAACAAATAGCTTTTTGCAGATGCATAGCGGTGTGTATATAATTGCTGTGGATATGTTGTGAAGAGGAAACAAAGCTTTTGTCTGTCATGTTTATATTTGGGACTGATTGGAACAGCAGAATATTTTGAATAGACATTTCAAATTCTTCAGTAGAATGTTAGACACTTCTGTGACTGCTGTGCTGACCACCAGGTGGTGGTAGAATGATGTCACATTACACGTGTGTGTGTATATGCCAGAGGCATAAACATCTAAACGTTCATCTCTTCTGATGGAAAAAGCAGAAAGATAGAAGAATTCTTTCTTTTATTATGTTTTGGGTTTTTTTTATTTTGATGCAATGGGAAGAATTATTTAGAAAACCTTTCTTAGTGATTTTGGTAACTGCTTCTATCTGCTTTGTAACAGTTTCTTGGCATTGATTTATTTCATCTTGTGCTGCTCAAAGCATGTACACCAGGAATAATCTGGAGAGCTTCATTGGGTTGTGCCATTTTTGTTGCTTTTTGGCTACAGTGAGCTGAAGAAGAATTCAAAAAACTTGGAATTGGTTCACATTTGTACTGTATTTTATAACACTGTCTAGAAAGTGCACTGCAACTTTGCCACAGCCTGATAAATCTAATGTTTTGTTTCTATAGAAAAGTTTTTAACTAATATTTTTTAGTGACTGATTTTGAATCTGTTTGGTTGATTTTACCCTAACAGAACTTTGCAGGGCAGCATGGCCAAGCTTCTGTCTGACCTCACAGGGGACAGTGTCAGACCCAAACCTGAAAAAGCTCTCTCAAAGTCTCTTTTGGAAGACCATGAGAAGCAGATGCAACCTGAGCTGTTTCCTGGGAGTACTTCAGTAATGACTTACCTTAAAACATTAGAAATGGATCATATTTTGATAGATACGGATCTTCAATTCCCAAATAAAATTGGAGAAGTAGAAATGCAAAATCTGTCCTATGAAAAGTTTGCTGCTGAAGGAAGTAAAATTAACAGTACATTCACAGAAGAACGAACTTCAGCTCCCAAAGGACCACCAGCTCCATTGAAGCAAGATGCAGAAACAGGGAGTGATTCTGGAACTTTACTAGATGATCAAACCAAGTTGGATGAGACAATTTATATTCCACTGACTAGCAGTGCCTCTAAAAAACAGCAGTCAGTCTCTGGAAGGAGCAGTGTGCTACCCCAGAGCAGAGGGGCTTGTCAGAGGCTGGATTACCACTGTGAGTTTCAAAGCTCTGTGCAGCAGTATGGATGTGAGGATTCAGCTCTACTGGGTAAATTAAATGCTGGATACAGTGTGAAAAACAGTGTGGAAAACACACTTGAAGTTACAGGGGATAAAGCAAAGCCAGAAGGAGACAAAGTCCAAGTGAGACCAAGAGGCATTCCAAGTGGGGCTGCAAAAGATTTCATGGATAAACCAGACCAGCCTCAGCCTGGTACATACCCTTGTGCATCGATGCCATTTCCAACAGGGATTTCTCAGAAAACAGGCAGTAAAGCAGCTGATTTTAGTTGCATTTCATTTGATGATTTCTCAGGGAGGTCTGACTGGAGTGCATCTTCTTTCTCAACATTTACTTCTCGAGATGAAGAAGACTTTAAAAATAGCTTAGCAGCCTTGGATGCCAACATAGCCAGGTTACAAAGGACTCTGCAAAGTAACATTAGGAAACAATGAGTATGAGAAAGCAAAATGGGCTATAGCCATTTGGATAATTTTTTTCTGAAGTATATTAAGTATGGTACTGATATGTATATTTGTATACAACTTGTATTAACAACTTGTTCCTAGCTGTTTCAATTATGGATAGAATTTGTTCCTCATTAGGCTGTGGTGCTGTTCCCCTTGATGTGCACAACTTGAAATAACTGGATTTTTATATAAAATAGAAATGGCTTTTTTAATTATGACTTTGTTTTATACTCTTTACTTGCAAAATTAAATGTACTTGTTTACTTGTGGGTTTTTTCCTTCCCCAAAGAACTATTGTAAGGTGCTGTACTTGAGCATGAGGTTCCACAGGTAGAGGCCAAGGAGGAGCTAGTTACAGAGCAGTTCTGCAGGAATACTAAGAGTTACAGTTGTTAAGTCAGGATCATTCTATTCCAAAAACAAAGGCAACCATCAATATGGGATTTTTAGTGTTTGATATGTCCTATGAAATATATAAAGCAATCTTTTTTTCCTCACCACTGATAAAACTATTTTCTCTTTGGAGCACTGTACTCGAAGAAAGAAGTTGATGAAGTGGAGAGTCCAGACAAGGGCAAGAAAAAGATCGTCGAAGTTCCATTGCTTTCTACAATTCTGTTAGAATCTAGAAAAGCAGAGCATGCTTTTCACAAATGTTTGCTTTTTATCTAAAGTAAAAGGGAATAGTAGTACTGGTGGATAAACACAGAGCAGAAACATGCTGAGGAACAGAAGCAGCAGAGCTGACACAAAGGAGACAAATGAGGCTTTAGCTGAAAGCTGGCCAATCAGTACAGTTAGGAAAGCACCAGAATATACAGCCTGAGGAAGACAGGGAAATTCTACAGTTGTTGAGGTATCAAAGCATCTCTTGGACATTAATACAGAGAGTCTGGACAGAATCACCCAAATTTGCTCTCACAGGAATGGGAATGGAGCAGAGAATGATTCCAGTCTGCTGTTCTCACAGAAAGGCTTTTCCACATCTCAGTCTCAAGAAGATGCATAATGTAAGTGTTTAAGTTACAGGTAGAGGAAGGTACCATTGTTACCATTCTGTGCCTCTTATAGTCTCAGCAATGCTTCAGAGCTGTTTTTCAGGGAAAATACCTTTAGAAAAGGAACAGCAGTATAAAGATCTGAGTTTAAGACTGCTTTTTCTGCAGAATTGCCTATTATTTTTTTTCCTAGAAAACGTTGTCCTTCCTGGCACTCTTTTGTTGTCTGTTTCTATGTAGGAGAAAAATCCCTCATGGTTATCTGCTTGGCTGGACACATTTTAAAGTTAGGACACTGTCCATGTATTGTGCTGGGGAGCAGCTCTGTGATTATTTTAGTTACTGGTAACTGAGTCATAGAAAGGTATGAAGAGAACACACACTACAGAAGATGCCAACTGGCACTCCTGCTTTGAAAAAGGAAAGTTAGACTAAATAGTGACTTCAGTCATTTAGAATGCTTTTAAGGCTTGGCCTGGATTTCTCAGTATTCTCCATACTTGTGCTCAGATTCAAAATAAGGTTGATGGTATGAGAGTGAACAGGTTTTAATTAAGTATTTACAAGCAGTTTCAGTGTAGAAGCTAAGAAAGTTTTAAACAATTATGATGTGGGCTAAAGATTAGCTACAATAAATTCTAATCTTTATAACCCACAAGAAACCTGAAAAAAGATGGGAAGAATATTCACTAGTAGACAATTCATTCAATTTTCTCCTTGCAGCCTAGACTTTCTCCATTTGAAGGAGGGTATTCTTCCTGGCCAAAGCTAATTGCAGTGTGGTAAGGCAGTTGTGGTGTCAGGTTGCCCAAGCATGTTGCTCTTGTTTTGAGAGAATTTACATTCACTTCTACCTCAGTGGACAAAGACGTTTCACCATCTTACTTGTTTCCTGTTTGCCTTCTCAAAGTCAGATCTATGAAAGCAGGAGATGACTACTGGAAAACACTCTAGGGCATAATGACACCAGGAGCAGGTTTGAAATGTGTGTCTGCTTCCAAGGAGGAGAAACAGAAGAAGAGACAAGAAGGAGGAGACTTGTTTTAAATGGTCCTTTGTTTTGTACTCCCGTATGTCAATCAGAGCTATGGCAACTTAATGAAATATAAAATTTCTCATATATGGGCATTATAAATGTGCATTGTTACATGTTCAGCTGCTGTGAAACACCTCTTCTGTTGTAGGGATTGACTGAACAGCTCAAAATGCAACATCAGTGATCATGATTAGATACTACCAAGAAAATCTTCACTATGATGCTGATGAGGCACTGGAGGAGGTTTCCCCCAAACGTTGTGGATGCCCCATCCCTGGAAGGGTTTGAGGCCAGGCTGAACAGGCTGTTCTAGGCTTTGAACAACCTTGCTCTAGGGGCACATGTCCCTGCCTAGGGTAGGATGTTTTTCCATCCCTTCCAGGCTAAGCCATTCCATGATGTTACATAACCTCATCTAGGTTTTTGTTGTGAACACAGAAGCTACAAGAGTTTAATTTTGACAAATCATATTCTGTGAAGTTGACATCTGCATCTTCCAGTGATGTGGAAAGAAAAGGATCTCTTAAAACATGTCATCAAGCTCTTTCCCCTTTATGAACCCTTTCTCTTGTGGAACATAGAAAAGATTGGGCAATACTCGAGTACCTGAGTTTAACACACATATAATTCTGTGCTCTGATTTCTTGAGCAAGGAGTGCCTATAATTCAGTGTCCCATTCCAAGAACTTGGGAATGGTAGTGGCTCCCTGCTAACACAAAAGATTGCTGTCTTACTACTGTGCCCAATTCCATCAAAAACTTCTTAAGGAACAAAAGCTGCCTTATTTGCTGAAGTAAAGCCAATATTGCATCTGTGTGTGCTAATAAGTTACCTGGGCACCAGTAGAGGTCAAGTGGCAACATCATTCACTTACCTATGGAAGGGATATTTTAGATTTCAGTATTTCACAAAATATGTAAGAAAAAAAATCTGAACAAACCAGGAATTGCTGCTGTTACCTCAAGTACCTTTCTTAACTCTCTGACTTAATGCAGGCATTCTTAAAAAGGGTGATTTTTTTTCCTTAGAAAGGAAAGAAACATTTCCTTTGTTAGATCAGAGAAACAGGCTAAGGCAAAAGGAAAAAACAAATGTCATAGGTTTAGTCACGTCAGTGGTCCCCAAATAGTGCAGATGAATATTCAGGTTTGGTCAGCCAGGACAGGTCTGCACACCTGCCATAGCACCAGAATTTACCAGAAGAGATGAAGATGTCAAGTCAGTTTTGGGATATTAAAGTGGATATGACATAATTCAGTCCAAACACAGATTTAGCTCTAAACCATCCCAGGTAGATCAGACTACCCACATTAATTACCTATTTCCAATTAAGCTCAGGCAGTTCTCAAGTGGTTCTTCAAGATTAATGCAAATTATGTTAGAGATAGTGTCTGTCTTCCCGAAAATTCATGGAATTTTTTCTGTAATTTCCTTGCACAACAAGGTTCTGCAGTTGGTTCTCCTTCAGCCAGCTGCAGGGATATTCTGGAGTGTTCCGTTACACAAGTCAGGGCTTTTGCCAGCAGAGCCTTAGGTACAGAGCAATCAAGTAGGAGATGAGGTCTTATTGCTTATCTCACTTTAACCTCTGCTTTAAGGTGAAATCAAGAATCACTGTCACTTTCATGACTGTTCTTACAATTTGAGCTGTAACCAGACAGGTCCCTGGAGAGAACCTCCCCCCAGCCTTTGATTCGTATTGCAGTTGATAAAGTCTCTCTTCAGCATAAGCATAGGCTGAGTTTGTTTTTTTCTGAGAAATCTTTTTGGTAGAGGAGAAAATAGTTTCTTTAGTCTCCAGATTTCTCTTAATCTGTGAAAATTGATTGTTTCTGTGTTCTTTAACAGCCTTGGGAAGTGTATTCACTATAGCTTTTTGCCTTTTACTGCAGTGAGGTAAGGGAAAGGTGCCTCTCTGTAAGCAGTCCACACTGCTTTCCCTCACATTGCTTGGTGGAAATGCCACAGTTACATGGAGATCTTTTTCAGGGATGAAATTGTATGTGAGCAAGATGTGTCAACCATGAAATTCAGATTTATTCAAAAACACAGATCCTGTGGTTGTACCTAAATGCATGATCAGTGGTTGCACTATTTGAAGACCAAACATCAAGCTGAACTGAAAGCCCAATGCTTTCACAGACATCTTCTGTTGATGAGGGCACAGAATGGAGAGAATCATCCAAAGTTTCTCTGACTCGATCTTCTCGAGTGTGGCCCGGCTAGCTCAGTGATGAGGTTTCTCTTCACTCGAGTTTCGAGCCAGCATATGTTTGTGGGGTTCACTGATTTTCTTCAAGAATCCAAGTCTATAGAGCGAGTAAAGAAATCAGGGGGGGACTCTCTCTCTGGTTTGCATTCCACAGTTTATTTCTGTGAAGGGGAATCCAAAGGACGAGAGACAAAGGATTTGGGGTCTGGGGGGGTCTCTTTTAACAGGGTTTCTCAGAGGGAGGGAACATCAGAGAGAGAACCAATTATTTTTCTCAGTTAGTACATCTTACAAACTTTCTACAAATCAAGGTTACACACACCAAGATAAGAAATAACAGACACCAACTTCTTCAAATGCCCACAAAGATGTAGGAGTATTCTCCACAGAGGGGCAGAGGAGGAGAGAGGGGGGACTTGGTTTCCTGGCAACACAGGGGGGAAAGAAAGGGAAGGCAAGGTAAGCATGCCCTCTCAGTTTCCATAGTTTAGAGGCATTCTGGGACAGGAAAAAGTTACCAACTTACGTGTTGGAAAGAAGGGTTCTCTTCTCCCAACCCCGTGCTTTCCTGGGCTAAAGAAACTTCAAGCAGCTGGAAATGCCAGCGGGGTCCTCTCTTTACTCTATCCGGCCTCTCGCCGTGGGGCTGAGGAGAGAAACTTCAGTAACCATGGTAACTTGACGCCAGGTAAACAGGAGAAAGAGAAGCTGGGGGTGGGGGGAGAATCACAACTAAAAGATGGGAAAAGATACATTTCAGGCTATCAACTACAACAGTTCTCCACTTGTCCTTGTGGCCCCACGCAAGACTGGAGTCACAGTGCACAGGCATGGAATGACCC